TGAACCGCGAAGTAGCTAAACTGTGGCCTGAATGTTGTTCTAGCTACAACAGTGCCACCCAGTGGTCTTGAGTTAAACGACACGAGCCACACTCCCCGGTAACCTGAGCCTTTTCCTATCCTCCTAGGTCTTTAAGTGGACGGGAAGCAACTCTTTCTTTGTGAAAGGAGACTTGGATTTACTGATGATGGGCAGCAGTAGGTGCGTGTCTCGGGCCTCGCTGAATTTTGTGGTAACGTGGCACCTGGTGGTTTTTGCAAGCCCCTCCCTCCCACAGCCCCCTGCCCCATCCCAGGCTCCCAAGCCTCCCCGCAACTCCCCAGCCCTGCTCTGAGGCCCCAATGAAGAGAAAGGGTGATGCGCCCTTTCCCTCCAAGCGTTTACAGCTGGTGACAACGCAAGCTGCATTTACGTAACTTTGGCAACGGATTGAAGGGTAGGCGAGGTTAGAGTAATGGAGTGGCCTCAAGTTTACCAGGCAGCCCTGCAGGAAGCCTGCCTTTGTGGGGGTGCCTGTGGGGGTGGAGTGGGTTAGGAAGAACAGATTAGTCTCACCCCTGGTGTGACCTTCCAATTGCGGGGAGAATGAGCCACCCTGCGTGGAAATAAAGCACGGCTCGATTAGCACACTGCATTCTTTGCTCTCCCAACTGCCCCTTAAAGCCCCAGCGAGAGGCAGCTGGATGGCTGATTGGCAGTAATTCATTTCCTCGCTGCAGCCTAACTTTTCTGTCAAATCAGGCTCTCTGGGGTGTTTGGAGGGCTCTCAGAGGGCAGGCCTGTGAGGCTCATCCCTGTGGTTAAGCATTGCCATCCTTAAAGTGTTCCCAAACTGGATTGCAGTGGTTGGCACCACTGTAGATATTTGTGAAAAAGCATTTCATTCTTAATAAAAAAAAAACCAACCACAGTTGTGTACCCTAAACCTTGCAAGGAGGTCCACCATGCTGAATCACCAGCAACATAGGATGAATCAATTTAAGGTAGGCAGAGAACAGGTGTAGTGGCTAAACTTTGGGCCGTGATCTGCATGGCTCCTCGGGAGACAGACTGGGCTTTCTACTCCCATAAACAATTAGCCTCGGACACCCAGAGGGGTCGTTAGGAGTCAGCATTATTTGATGGCTGTGAACAACAGGTAAAAATAGGTTTCAGTAAATCGGAAAGGTGCCAGACCAGAGCCTTGGTAAGATGTTGTTCCTCTCTTCAGTGGCCAGTTTGGGCTGTGGCTGGACGGTGACTTGTATCGTGGGGGAAGCCACCCCTGTGCGACCTTCAACAATGAAGTGCTGGCCCGGCAGGAGCAGTTCTGTGTCAAGGAGCTGGAGGCCTGGGCACTGAGCTGACGTCCTGCGGTGGAGCATCTCCCCTAGCACCAGGGATTGGACCTGTTCGTGGATGCCCCCTACATCTGTCTTCTGTAGGCAGCCTAGGCTGCCTTTTCTGTGGGGGACATGGATATCCAAACACCCCAGCACTGACTGGCTGTTCACCAGCTCTGCTGCGGAGTTGGGACCCAAGGCTGGAATGGAGATTAGCATTATTATCTGAAGAAGTAACTTTGAAGGAGTTAGGGGTACCTCTTATCCAGTAGGTGCAAAGTCCTTCATGAAAATTATCTTCTGAGAAATTCAGATCATGACC